CCTACATAGAGTAGGCTGATATATACGACATGAGAGCTCCCTGTCGCAATGCGCTCTGGAATAAGGGGGGTTGCTGCATAGGTCAGCTTTATGGACAAACAGGTATGTAGGGCCAGGATGAGAATAAGAGTCTCGCACAGAACAGCCATGGACCTCAGAGAGAGGGGACTCTTCTCCAAATCCTCTATCCAACTCAACGATCAGGCTCAAATTCCAATGAGCCTTCCTTGATGAACCACTTGATGCCCGGAACTCCCACATCAACCAACATAATCTCGAGTTAACATGTCGGTTTGCCAGAGCGGCCCCCTCAACGCACCACTGTGGGACCGGGGTGAGGCTTCACTGAATTATATGTTGGTAGCAATACAGCTCCTTTGCTGACTTCTCCCAAAAGGCATATTAGGGAGCCAATCGAAAGGAAGCAGAATGTGAATGTGACGCTGCATTCAACCAGTGAAGATGGCATATCTGAATATTTCATATATAATCACCACTGATCACACTACCATCATACCTGCCATACAACACATAAGGCTCAGGGGACATATCATACATCTCATCAGATGAGCTCAAACTGAGTGTCTGCCTTTCTACTCCCAGGAATAATGCGGGAGTTCGTCCGCCCCTTGATTGACCCATACGTCTACATGGAACCGAAGATAAAGATACACCCTAGTTAACGTTATATCTCCCTCTTCGACACCACCACAGAGTTGTCTTTTCCGAAAGGTGTTTCCATCCCAGCAATCACCAAGCGGGTTGCTCACAGTCGCAACCCGAAAAGGACAAAGAGACGGGACGGACGAAGCAGAATCCTGATGTTCTGTCTCGGAAACAAAGTTCTTAGTGTATGCCCCAAGTGCTTTCTTTCTCTCCCGTGTTTGCGCGAGAAAGTAGTGTGGTTGGCATATCTCCCAATATATCTATGTCATAGCACTACTATGCCCGATACCATTGCATATGGACCAGCACTCCCTGTTGGTTCTTAGATACCATCCCCATAATTTTGAGTCATACGACAATGAATACTGCCAATTTGGTTAGCAAGTGATGTTCTTAGATACCATCCCCATAATTTCGAGTCATACGATAATGAATACTGCCAATTTGGTTAGCAAGTGATGCTTTGAAGTTGTGAAGAGTGTAAACCTATATCGGTGTGTTAGTGATAAATCCCCTTTACAGTCTGCCATAACCTGATAACAAATTCGCATTCCATTTTTGTTTCCAAAAGTTCTCCACTGGCTCTGTTCATCATCACTACCAAAGAAGAGTATGACGGATCAAGGTGGTTAGAAGTGTATAGCATTTAATCGGAGGCCTGTCTCTTTCACCATCTGCATTTTTGTCATTGCTACTCTTTCCAGCGCTTTACACCCACTTGGGAATTATCATCTAGCTTTTCAGCGAAGGACTTAAAATGAGCGTTTGTATAAGAGGGACCCGTAGCCCCCATATGCTGTGCATCATGATTGTGTGAACAGGTGCTGATAAACCGGTCCCCCCGTCTTGTACCCAATTCAACCTATGCAGGCACTTCAGCCTAGTTGCAGCGCAAAAAAAAAATCCTAATAAAGCAATTGGAAACTTTAACTTAGCAAGCACGAGAAGACATTTCAGCGCATTTGTTGACGTCAAAAGAGATATCGTGATGCCGCCCGCACTGTGAGAGTATGATTGTTACTAGCTGACGTCAAATCTAACTATGGCGCTGACGTAAACCTTAAGTTGTGGATCTGTGGAGGATGTCCTTCAGTTCTATGGTTCCAAGTAAAGCTTAACGTAATCAATAAGCGAGTCGGCCACATAAGCAAGTCAGCCACTTCTCACCCCACTGTACGATGAGAATGCATCTATGCCTCAATCATAAAGAAAAAGAGAAAGAATTATATTGTCAATTATTTTCTATATTCCTAGAGCATGTACAAGCAGTATGCTCAGTAATCCCACATACACTACACTGTGATGCTGTCTGTTTTTGTGATTGAGACTCAGCAGCCTCAATCACCTCTCTTTTCCATTCATTGATGCTTTGTACATGATCCAAGCCTTCTTCAACCTCTAAAGCATCCTCTTGAGCTACATATGTACAGCCTCTTTCTCACTTCTTCTTTTGTTTGGCATTTGCAGCTTTTAACTCTCTGTTTTCAACTGCTAGAATAGCAGCACTGTGCATTGCCATTTGACACCTCTTGACCAGCTGACTCAGGGCTCAATTGCTTGGACTGGGTGGACTCTGTGTACAGTACTTGATATATTTTTTTGACCTTCTCAGTCTGCTGCTTCAATTGATGTACATTGTGCAGTGTGGCAGTGGCCCAGGAGGCCTGGAAGCTGTGGGAGGTCCCAGGAGGGGTGGGGATATGCATTGTTGTATTAAGATGTGAGAGAACCTGCTCAGAGTCATACAGAACCAATCCAGCTGCTCTGAAGCCACTTTTGATGTTGCTCTCAGTCAGGGCCTGCATCTGAGCTGCAGGATATAGGGCCAGAAACTTCTTCTTGTCAATATGATTGATTTCAAACTGCATCTGATTCTCTATCTGTCATCTGTATGCTGTTTTCAGAGGGGAGAAGCAGCCAACATTCAATGACTGGAGAAGATGAGAGGAATGAGATGGCATATAGAGAGCAATGATCTGATTCTCAGAGCAGAATTGATCAAATTCAGCAGAGGCATGGCTTCTATGCCAGTTCAGAATCAACAGTCAGTGTGTACTCTTCATACAGAGTAGGATCTTCTTGTTGAACATCTCTTTCAGTCAGTACAAGCCCAGCTGGTCATTTGTTCAGTCATTCTCACTGACTTCAATCACTCAATTCCTGGGCAGTCTCTCAGTCTCATACCAACAGAACTGATGCATCTTTTCCTTAAGAATAATCATTGTACACAGAGCTCAGTCAGAGACATTGACTTCAGCAATGACAGTCACTCATTCTCAATCTTCAGACTGTACAAGCTTGAGATTTCTGACTCTTTTAGACCCAGTAACCACTCTGGCAGTCTCAATAACTCTCATCTGAAATTCAGTCTCATCAAAGTTGTAGATATCATCTTTCAGAATTCCATACTTTGCAATAGTGTTTTGTACAAGTCTAAATCACTCACAGATAATCTCAGAATCCTCACATAGTGCATGTTGATGGTTGTACTTGCAGGAGAACTTGGATTTCAGCTCTTCATGGCATTTGACAAAGTTTTGTACCCAGCATTCACCCACTGTGGGTGGGCAGTTGAATCCCCAACTGGTAAGAATGAGATTGGCCATTTCTCATACAGCTGCAACCTGGGGTGGCACACCTCACTCATTCATAGTCAGAATCCATTGAACAAGAGATTCTTCCTCTGTAAGACTAAGTTTCCAGTTCTTTGAGGAAGTGTTAACACATGCTGTATGACCATGTACCTGATCACCTAAGGTGGAATGTGGAACATCATACAGCTTTGCTGCAGCTCATACACTTGAAATTTGACCATTTTTAAATGCTTGAATGGCTAAAAGAAGCCTTCCTTCCTGAGTAAAGGCTTTATTTCTTTGTGTGGTTGACATTTTTGATGATAAAGATGTTGTTCTGAGATGAGATGAAAAGTGGCTGACTTGCTTATGTGGCTGACTCACTTATTGATTACGTTAATATTGTTGATTTCTTGACCGGTTTTTGACAACGGAACTTCGCTGTCTGCATGTAGCAGCGTGGATCAGATTTTACTCCAGATTAAATAAATTCCAGGTTGGATTACTGCTCTTATTGGGCTTTTGGCTCTCGTTCTTTGTAGCCAAATCCTCCTCGAAACTAAGGGATACTGCTGCTTTTTGGGGTTCTGCTTGAACACGGCCTGAAGTTCATATTTCAGTACGAAGTAGTCTATATCGCCTTTCTCTGTTCCCCTAGGCGTGTCCCCTGCTCAGACAACCCCTTATCAAACATTGTGTCCTACTAGACATACCAGAGACAACTTAAATTATATATTGGGGTGGGCGAAGTTGGGTCGGAACATGTATAACCACGCAACTCACTCTTTGTATTGTTCCCGCTGTGGGTGAACCCGCAGCGGGGCATTTCATACTCCAGAAGATGAAGCAGACAAAGAGGACCAAATCTTTGAAAACGGAGGTAGTGTACCTCTCACAGAGGGCTTCGTAGTACCAAGAACTTAGATTCACATCAATACCCGTAATGTTAGGGGTTAAACTGCTGCAAAAGAGTGGTCCGTAGATATATGATTTTTTTTTTTTAAAAAAAAAAAATAAAAGGACAGATCTTAGCAGCCTTCAATAAACGTAGAGACGGGGCAGCTCCTCAACGTTATCTCAGTTCGACAAATGATAAGAAGCAGGTGAATCTTGCATGTATAAACAGGCTTTAAGAGAAAGAATCGATTGGCGGACTAAGTCCAAAGCTCAGATGAAAAGCACGGCCTTGATCTCGAGGCTTCGGGAATATCACCAGGCTATGGGTGGCCCTGCTGATTCTGCAATAGGCCGCAGAGCCCCCGTAGCATGCTCTTTAACGTGTCCCGGAGCGGGCCCTTCCCATCACCGCTAGATCTTGAGAGAGTTGTGCCTCCCATTCTAGAAGACACTAAACTCAGATTCCGCGGAGCCATTGCATGCAGAACAAACATGGCGTCATTTTTGAATTCCCATAGAGCGTATTTTCCTGCTGAGGTCTTTTAATGTTGGAGCCAGTTCTCTATGCAAAAGCAGATGCGCCGACCTTCTGTCCCTCCCTCATGTTGCTTCTCCTTACCTCCTCCTATCTCATTTTCATCGTGATAAAACCAGTTCCACTCTGATATTTTCAAATAATATCCCTTATTCTCTACATCTGCAAATGTAGTAAAGCCCGATATCAGATCCTTAATACTTAACAAGCATATACTTTTCCATATTTGTTCGACAGTGTGAGCGCCTAGCCAACCTTTGCTTGCATCCTTTCCACCCTGATTCTCGTGAAAAGCTTCCACCTTGGGTAAATCACGAATAACAGCAGCGATGGAAAACCAAGGCGACTCGAAAGGGAAGGCAGTGATGTACAATACAACCCCACCAGATAGCCCTCCCGTCTTTTCCGAGAATAGCGGAGGTAGCGCCCCCAACGGCTCAGACCCCAGCATGAACACGCTTCAGGGTTCAGCTCCACCTTCCTTCCGAGGCCCCGATGGTCGCAATCTCCTCAACACCACTCTCGCGTTCAGTTCAAGAACAAACCGGAGCGCCACACATCTCCAGAACGGGACACCTCTCCGGATCGGGGAGCTTGACGAATGAGACTCTCACCCCGATGAACCCGACCCCGATCGCATCTTAACACCTTTCCGGATCGTGTTGGGAGATATCAGAATTCGCCTCAAGCGCGGAGAAACGAATTTAACGTTGAGTGGATATATCCTAGAAGATATTATATTTGACATCGAGTCTCCAGATAGGGAGTCGCCTTCTGTTCGCGCAATGATACACGATTTCGAAAATCACCTGATGGAGAATGGTATCGGTTTACACTCCAATGTCACTACACCCGTGGAATGTCCGATTGACCCCGGCAATGGGGAAATGCCCTCGCCACATCCGCATCTGGCATTGCACAATTTCACGAGTAGTCCGATCGGCTATGAAACGGGAGGGCCTTCTAATTATTGGTTCCCAAATGTTCCAAATAACACTGCAGATACGCCAAGGGGTCTTCTCCATCGTCCCCACATAATGAATGAGTTCGAATATCACCAGCCCACGGGCAGTGAAACATATGAGGGGCCAGCATATGGATCCCACAGAACACTTAACGAACGTTCTCTAATGTACCAGCCAAGGACCGTGGCTCCAGAGCTATCAAGAGTAGTCGAAGATGAAACACTCGAATATAGGGAAGAATTCGAATACATCGAACAACCAGTGAGCTGGGAAGATCCTCAACCAGAGTTTTGGTGAGTTTGATCCTCATTATTGCAAAATGGTGTTATCTGGTATAGGTTGCTGATAATGATTCTCCTGTTATAGACGGAATCGAGTTACAACCTCCAACACCATCAAGATGCGGAAGAATTCTGCCAGTTCCTCAAGACTTTCAATTCCAATAGGCAAAACCCAATCTCTTCGATGCCCTCTCAAATGTTACCAATGTTTCTGTTGCAAGGGGTGTTTCATATGTTTCTTTTCATATTTTGTTTTGTTTGTTATTTTTGGCCTATATTCGGACACTGTATTGCTAGCGGAACACAGAGTTTCTAAGTAGTCCCCGATTCATATCAGGAAACTAAACAATTAGAATGAAAGCGCTGTTATAGTACCACAAGATGCGCTGGCACCAGGAGGAACACGACAACATTGGTCAATTCTGAGGAATATGAGAAAGGATAAAATACCTCGCGCTACCAGTCTGGATCCGTATACGGGGCACAGAAACTCGCGTCGCATAACACTTCTTGGTGGATTCCCTCACTACTCTTGAATGGACCCTTGGAAGAGCTGAAAATCCGGTTAGTCATGACAAAATTCGAGAACGCGGGTGCTGGAGATCCTTCAAACGACCTCGAATCATAAGTTTAAAAAACGTGGAGACAGAAAGTTGCCTTACTATTATCCAATGATTTAATCTCATGATGTGTTTATGCGAAATTTTTGTTGTTTCCTTGTTAATTTGGAGAAGCTAAATTGGAATTTTGAATATGGGAACGAATTGTATATCATGTTGAGGTCAAATTGTTAGGACATCTGTTCTTGGAAAGGGCCTGTATACACTTAGTGTCTAATAATCTGGAAAATCCCAAGTATTTCGTGTACTTGTATTCGCCTTGAAAGTGTTAACCCGAAGATAAAGAAATTTCAGTCATTTGAATGACGGGTTTGGAGTGACGTCTGGAGATGCGATTAGTCAGACGCGCCAAAACTGACCTGTTCGGTTTTATCTCGGTCTTCCTGCCTATATCAGCATGTGTGTACAGCTTTGCGACTGCAACTGATCAGTGGTTAATTGTAGAGAGTTTCTCGACGCCCACACTTAAAAACCCAACCAGATTTATATGATAAGCGAGTCGCATAGCAGCAATGGATCCATTCTCGGCTGAAGGAGGTGAATCAGTTCCAATCCCATCCCCATTTTCGTTCGACATGCCGAAACACTGACACCTTGAACCTCCAGAGCTCCTGAACATCCACAACGCCTTCCACCAGGGCCAATATCAAGAAGTCATCGACTTTGATTCTTCCACCTTCTCGCCTGAAAACACTCTCACCGTTCGCGTTCTCAAGCTCCGTGCAAAAATTGCCCTTGGACAAACAGACGATGTCCTTGCGGAGGTGGAAGGGGAGGAAGATGTACCTGATCTAGCCGCCGTCAAGGTGTTGGCACTTCAGACAGCGGGCGACGAAGCAGTTGCACTTAAGGGCGCGGAGGAGCTGGTAGCAAAGAATCCAGAAAATGCCACTACTCAGGTTCTTATAGGGACGGTGCTACAAGCACAAGGGAAAAGCGAGGAGGCATTGTCGCTGTTGTCGAAACATCAGGGAAATCTTGAAGCGTGAGTGGAATGCATAGCTGCCTTTCATGGCTATGACTATACGATACCTTTGTTATTGCAGAAGAGTGTACTTCCGCCTGTCTGAATATCCATGCTAATCCTAACGTCTTTAATCTTTCAGCGTCGCCCTAACTGTCCAAATCCACCTCCAACAAAACCGCACTTATCTCGCCCAGAAGGAAATCCAGGCTGCACGACGATGGGCTCAAGATTCATTGCTTGTCAACTTGGCTGAGTCATGGATAGGCCTGAGAGTGGTATGTTCAATTTCTGCCGCACCTCAAACCGTCCAAACAACCCTGCTAACCAATCATACAACATCCACAGGGTAGTGAGAAATACCAATCCGCATTCTATGTTTATGAAGAACTTGCCTCCAATCCCAATACTTCGTCTCCCATCTCAATTGTTGGCCAAGCTGTTTCAGAACTACACCTAGGCCGTTTACCCGAGGCTGAAGTCGCCCTTCAATCGGCTCTGGAAAGATACCCTAATGATATTCAGACGATCGCAAATCTGATTGTCCTGAATGTATTGAGTGGAAAGGACGCGACTGAGCTCACCTCGTAAGTGCTCTTGCATGTTTCGAGCTTGTGTTGAATCCAGATAAAACATGACAAAATTCTATGAAACTCAAGCTAACTAAACTCGATTTACTCCAATTGTTTTTGCAGATCCCTTCAAAAGGTACAACCAGACCATCCACTCCTTACCGATCTAGCTGAGAAGAGCGCATTTTTCGATGCCGCCGCGTCAAAATATGCCGCAAAGGTGTCCTCATAGCCCATTTTCGTTCACCCCTTCATTTTTCCTCAATATCCCTGCCCTTTCAATTTCTGCACTGCCACTTTTTAAAGAGGTGATGCACTGCTAGTTGGTCCGACATGTCTCCCAGAGTTATATTTCTATATTTTTGTTTAATTTATGTAGTTAGCCATGTCCACGCCATTCAAAAATAGACGTATAAATGCACCTTCAAACTAGCAAACGATGATGCTGGTCTTCTTTCAGCTCGTGTGAGCATGGCCATTTTGTCGCGCTGTGATGGAAGGAAAGTTGTGTTTTAGCTTCTTACCAAAGTTTCGCCCAACATCTGTATCAGATACGCTATCTTTGTATTACCTTCAAAGCATATGGTATCTGAACCATTGAATCTGCCCACACCCGTAGTAATGAAATATCGAAGACGAAGGGAGAAGCATTAAGGAACGTCAATAGGATTGCAAACAATTATTGTGTACATTCAACATCTGCATCACATACACATAGCGAAACAGGATTCAAATTCAAGAAAACCATGATGATGCCCCACATATTAACACGTTGTTATTTAACTTTATTTGTGAATATGATTAGAACTTCCATCACCTCTTTATAATGACCCTCTCAAAGTCTCGACGAGAAAAACGAGAAGTACGCCTTTCCTTGTTCTGTTTCGGTTTGATCACCTAACATCAGAGCTACGATGGGTGCATCGTGACATTCATCCTTGCCCACCACGAACGTCGTGTTTGGGAATACAGACTAAAATCGGATAGTAGAAAATTGGATATTAGATTTTCCGACAGAAAATAAATCGTATGGGGGTAAAACACAAGACAATGCCTCTTACACAATACGTAAGGGTATCTCGAAAAGCCAAAGAAATGAGAGGAAGGGGGACGAAAACAAACCTTTAGCTTCTCGGCGAACTCCTCGACAGGGGAACGGAACAAATCATCCGAACCAGTCAAAATCAACATATCCCTGACCTTAAGGTCCTTCCACCAATCCGACGGCGCTCGAAGCGGTTCCAGATAATTATCCGACTCCGACTCAGCAATGTAATAAGACGACCATCTCTCCAGCACCGAGATCTCAAGGATATCCTTATTCTGATTCTCCTTGACAGAGGCATAATTCAGAGAAAACGAGACCCACGGCGAAATCGGCACAGCGCCAGCCAGCGGCTCCGAAAGCTCCAGCGGTTCAATCGCCTTGTGTGGGTGGGAGAGATGGGAAAGGATGCCTAGGGTGAGATTGCCGCCAGCTGAGTCGCCAGCGATAAAGACATTTGCAGGGCTACGACCGGTCTTTTCGACTATGTAGCGGAGTGCGCCAACAGCTTGTCGTAGTTGGGTGGGATAGACAGCGTGCGGGGTCAGGGTGTATGTGACTAAGAAGATGGCGATGTCTTTTCCCGCTGCAGTCAGTTTGTCCAGGATGTTGGATTGGAACTGGAAAAATCCGGGATTTGCGGGAGATGCAAAACCGCCTCCTATATGTGTAAGAAAAGTGGATGTGATTAGTATCTGTTTTTACAGTAATCGAGGAGGAGCGCGCTCTCTAAGGTCTGGAGGGGTATACCATGGTAGTAAACTAGTACATTCTTTGCATCTTTATTGCCGATCCAATGGCCCTCCGCCTCATGGTCAAGAGCAACAGTTTGCGGCGTGAACCCTTTCGCCTTAGCAAAATTTTCGTACGCTTGATTTGTCGCAGGGTTAAGTGCTCTTTTTCATGACGCAATGTGTCAACTGAAAATCGCATATAATAAATTTGAGAGGGATACCCGTTAAATTGTGTCAACGGGTTATACGCTTGTATAAAAGGTCGATGTCACTTACTGACTCTGCCGTGTTGAGAACCGACTAATCGCCCTCCGTATAACAGCGTGGTTGATATGCTTGCGGTAATACCTGTGGCCGCTCTGACCACGAACTAGGCCAGTAATCGCTGCATAGATTGCACTGGCGATCAGGGAGAGGTTTGCTGGGACCAGGTCCAGCTTCTCAAGGACACTGAGTTTGGGAGGGAAACTAGTAGGAGCCATGATTTGATCTTCTAATCCAAGAGTATGAATTTGGTTGAATCGAGTAACTACCACGGATTTCTCTTGATACCGTTCACTTTTGCAAGCTTCCAAGGTTGTGCAACTAGACACAAAGCCCAAGTAAAGAACCAGTATTGAAAACACGTGAAAATCGAGCTGCTGAAATCCGTATTCGAGTTCCAGAAACTATCAATTTGTAGCTAATCGAAATATGGACAAAATACCCCAGATTGCAAATTATACAAATTGAGAGATGGACAAAAAAGGATGCAAGCAGAAGAGAATATTCGTCTCTATTTTTGAGAGCGCAAGGATGCATGCCATTCTTGTTTTCGGGTATCTAGCTATTCGCTGACCGAGCGCTAGCTTGACTTCACAGCATAGTCTCTGGTGTTGTAGCGAGGTAGACAAACCCCCTCTTGCTTGGCAGATGGGGTATTTGACAGCAGCAATCGCTATCATCAATTTCCCAAATTGCTACCGGTCTTCCTCGGTTGATCTCTTTAGACGTCAGAGCTAGTCGGAGTCCACCGAGTAGCGTCGCGAGCCATCCAAAGTCAAATGAAGTTTTAAGAGCTAGTCCTGTTTGAACGGATCCTGTTTGAACGGATCACGTATCGAAGCATTCAAGGGCAGAGCTTCATTGGTCGAGTATTTTAGGGGAGTGTATAGCATCACCCTAACATGACAACAATTCATGGATTCTTCCTCAAACGCAAACATTGAAATAAAATGAGGGGAATATTAAAAAATAATAATAAATAAAAAGAAAAAGAAAAAGAAAAAGAAAGAAACACCCCAAAAAACTTATTGTCCCTCTGGCCTCACAGATGTCCATTGATCACATCTTCAGAACGGTCCAGTTCACAAAATGCTCTGAAAGTAGTGAAGGGCACTTCATTATCCTCCAGTGCAGTGCTTTCAATCACGCATTCAGCTCTAGCCCCAACAAAAAACACATAGCCCGCCTTGGCCTCTTCAGTCTTTCCTGGCCCTACACTTATGTTCCCTTGGCCGCTCGTACAAATGAAGATACTGGGACCATTGATCGGGTCAAATGTAGCCTTAGCACCACGACGTCTCAAATCCGTCTTGACAACAGCAAACTCTTCAATTGGTGGATCATATAGCAAGGACGATGAGCCGCTCAAGTACGCGATTGAATTCAACGTCGCGTAGGGGTAATCTGTTGGCTCCATTTTTTGCTCTTGGATGGGGGCATAATTGTATGTGAGCATATCGGTCAGCGTGGAGACGTCTTTGAACTTGGGAGTAAAGCCGGCTCGAACAACATTGTCAGAGGAGGCCATGCACTCGATAATATCGCCGGAAATGTATGCGTGGATATCATCTGCTTTAAGAAACATGGCTTCGCCTGGAGACAGTTTAACGAAGTTGAGGAAAAAAAAGACGAATAGTCCGATATCGTTGGGGAACTGCTCATTTAGGCGAATGGCTACTGCTGCTATCTCCTCTGGGTTGGAAGGATTGGTTGAGGGGTTGGATTCCGACATGCCGAATGTGCTTGGGGAGGCTTTGGCGGTAGATATTAGTTTCTCCGCAGCCGAAGATATTGCCTCTGGGGTAGAGGTCATCAGCTTGGTAAATAAAGTTTTTAGAGCCGCTTTGTTCTTCTCTGTGGAGGCTGCATCCTCAGGCTGCTCTTGACCACTAACCACCCTCTCAAAGGCTTCCGCAGCCTCTGATCCAACAAGCTCTCTCAATGGTTCTAGGACACGCAGGAAGTGGACAATTTCAACCAAAGGACGGAAGCCACACAAGCCCTCGAAAGGGGTGATGGCAATAGTCATTTCCGGTTTGTGATTATCATCTGATAGGGAACATTAATCGACATTATCGGCAGTAACTTTCATTTTCCCCATCGAGCGACTAACCTGGATAGTTGCGCGGATCCCTCTGGTGAAGAACAGCTGCCAGATGTTTGTTTGGGTGTGCTTGGATTGAAAGAGCTTTCCGAATGGAAAGGACTTTGAACAGGAATGGTAATTTCCCTTTATACCGGGTCATAATTTCTTGTGACATCAGTTCTGGGTTATTCTGCACCAGGTCGAGCAAAGTCCTTTTGGTTTGAAGGTCTTTGGACGGGAGAGAAGGGTGAGTGCCCATCCATAGCTAACATGAGCCAAACAGTTAGTTAGTATGAGACCAGCAATTGTGAGTGATCGAAGAAGAAGGAAATATACCTCTGCGTATGGTTTGTCATTTTGAATAGAAAGGTCGGTTGAAGGGGTTGCAGCCGCGTATCTTGCCGCAGCGGATTCTTCACCGATCTTTCCTGGTCGAAATCAGCATCATGTTTGACGGAGAGGTAGAGTTAAGTGCCCATGGAGGTAAAAATGGCGAACACACCCCAATCGTAGCTATTTACGTCTATTTTGACAGAAGAACTACATCAGTAACCGACAACGGTTAGGGATAGCAAGCCAACATCAAAACTCACCGCATTGCAGCCGGAAGATAGGCACTTGCATAGTTGAAGAGTGAGAGAGAGTCAAGTCGCAGTTGCTGTGGAAAAGAGATTGTGTAATGAGTCAATCACAACTCGAATACTTTATAACAATGGGTCTTCTTCTTGTTCCTATTCTTTCTCTCCTCTGTGTTTTGAACCAACTCTCGTTCCTCATCAAAACACCATAAGCAGCGTCAAGGCCAACTCTCAACTTGTTGATGTTTAGGGGATCCAACCAAACCTTGGCACGCGCAAGACCATCACGTGCCATTGACTATCTCTGCTTACCTCATCCACTACCCAGCTCTGGATCCCGTGATCCCTGTACCTAATTCGGTACAAACCTTGGCCATGTCCAATCAAACAAACCAGCGAGTCCTGGACAGTCCAACCCCAGCCACGAGTTCCATGGTTCGTCTCGTCTCGATGGTCTCGTTGGCTGCGGGAGCCCATCTACCTACCGCGCCACAGCAACGGCCGATATCAGCTTCTCCATCAACTATCTCATCGTTGACTCCTATCACAAATTTGCTCCAGATAGCTACCCCAGAGTGCGGGGTATCAGATTGTGAGGAGAGTGGGCTTAGCCAACGTCAGAGTAGCAGTGGTGTTGCTAGCAGTACAGCTTTATCACCCAGAGCACTATATCCTGCTACAAGATACCTCAAAGCGCCATATCTCCCGCCAGCTTTGAACACCCGCAGGCAAGCAAGGGAGAGCTTCGAATTTCAATTGCTGGCCGGTTCAGAGTGGGAAGCTGTAGATATTGCCAACTCAAGAAAGGCTGGAGAAGAAAGAGCTCTGGAAAAGCGTGAGGAAGCTCAAAAGGCTAAACAAGGGAGAGCCCAGGCTGCAAGACTTTCCCTGACGAACTTAGAACGTGGAGGGGCCATCATGTCCCGGAACAGACCCAGGGGCCCCTCCGCCAGGGACAATGGGGCGGCTGCAAATGAAGAAATTGAAATGTGGAATCGGATCCGTCAAGATATATTCAAAGCTGCCGAGCGGAATGAGAAGCAGAAATCCCCTGGTTTTGCACTGGCTGCGTTGAGGGAAAAAATCGCAAAGACCGGCAGAAGTGAGTGCATGTTTTACTTCCCCTTTTATTACGTTCCATTTGGATTGAGTACTCCGTTGGGATTCTGTTGTTGGAAAGTTTGTTATGCGTGATCAAGTCGCCTCCAAAACTTCCCTTATCATTTGTGATGTTGTTTTGATTCATTCCCTGCATTCTTCCTTCAATTTCCCTTGGACATTTTGTCTTAGCCTCTGAAAATACCATCATGTGTGGATAAACTTCCTTTTCTTAGTTTTACCCCAAGACAGCACTTCTTGAATTGTTCTTGGTCGAACTAAAATGGATATACTGTCGTGATATATCTCATGAACGAGTATCAAGTATACTTATTTTCCGGGTACATGCCCTCGACCTGAGGGAGTCTATTCATTGAGATCTGGGTCTCGCATTACTTCCTGGCCCATATTTTCCCAACTCCTCTCCGCTCCCCTCCGTTCTCTTGTTATGCCTAAATCATCACTGAAAAATTTGAATTTCACGTCTTTACTATATTTTACATTCATACCTTTGCATTTCGCCAATTCTCAGGCCTTTTAATGAATTGATATCCAAACGACGAAACCCAACTAGTTTCCAAACTGCAAGGTTTGCTGCTAACAACACGAATTTCAGAAGCAACGCCAAGTGAGCTGGAGCAGATGGAAAACTTCCATCGTATAATAAACAAGCACAGTGATGAGGAGCGTGCGATTCTACTGGATGAACCAGCGGACGTAATCAAAAACCTGGAAATACTCATCGCTTTGCGCTCTGCGTCTGAAGCTGACCCCCAAACTCGTGCCTCGGCCACCGGAAAACCGCGGAAAAGAAAGAACGAAGCTGACGCTTCAGCTGCAGATTCTCCCGCTCCAGCAGCAGCTGGGGTTTCTGATAAACTAAATCGACTCAAAAGTGGCACACATAGAAGCACCAGTGTCTCCAGCAGTCAAGCCCGCGAAGCTATTTCTGTCAAGAGTGAAGACGGGGTTGAAGGCACGAAAGGCACAGCAGCAGAAAAAAGTGGACAGCTCTTTGTTGGCGCGGAAGTTGTTTTCAAACACAATAAGAAGCAACAGGGTGTAGAAGGCGAAGGTATTCAGTGCATTATCAAAAGCATTGCTGGGGAGGGTCATAAAAAGCGGTAAGCTCAAACGACAGCTTCTCAATGCATGGATTTTAATTTTAAACATTGACACCCTTTCCAGGTATGATGTTCAAGATCCTGAGCCCAACGAAAACGGAGAAGAGGGTGCGGTCTACAAAACCACTGCCGCTTCATTGATCCCAATTCCCCAGGTCGGCGCCTCGCTTCCATTTTTCTCTGTGGGAAAACAAGTCCTCGCTAGATATCCCGATACGACTACATTTTACCGCGCGGAGGTTATGGGCTCTAAGAAGGATGTGTATAGGTTGAAGTTCGAGGGGGAGGAAGATGATAAGGAGATGGATGTTGACCGCCGTTTTGTACTCGACATTCCCGGAAAGTAAGAGTGACGCTGGCGTTACTGCTCTATCCCTTTTTGTCGCTTGGAGATTTGCCCTTTGCATATCTCTATATCTGCACAGTAACTACCATTTTTTGTGTTTGAATATTTGGTTTAGAGTTTTCCAAGTCGTCCGAGGCTCAGTTTACGATTGAAGACATGGACGGGTGTTTGGTTGGCTTACTTTCCACACTTTGATAATTGGTATAGGCGTGCCGGAATCTGTTTTGAGTGTTTTGGCTTTCTGAAATCTGTACTATGGCCGACTGGCAAGATCATTTTACCTTGGAGATACGGTATGTTCTTGGACCGTGGAGTTCTGAGGGTTGGTTACTATACATAGGAATAAAAAGTGACCTCTTTGATAGCAGCAAATTTGGGGGACACTAGCTTCATGCATTTGGTTCTTATTGTATCCCCAGGGTTCTCAACCACTGTCTTCTCCGCTGCACTTGCACAAATGATATCGTCTTCGGGCATACCAGCACCAGTTTATTTAGGCGTGGGGTAAATGCCGAGCGGAGCGACACAACGCCCCCAAGCTGACTCAGCCGAACCGAGGTTCTAGGTGTTGTAAACTACAGTTAAATTCAAATATGAGCTAAAGAACCAAAATCAGAGTGTGTGTTGTGTGTCCTTGCTCCTGTCCAACAACATCAAAAATTGATGTAAAGCGTTCGGTGCTCCTGTTTTTATACTGGATACGATCAATGCTATAACTATTCTCTCCTTCCCGTCCCCTTCTTGAATGCTGCTCTCAAATATGCAAGAATTCCCCTCTCACACCTCTCCCTTCCTTTGGCCACAAACCTTCCACCCGAAGCGACCAGCCATCAGCGAATTTTCGCTCTCCGAAAGCCACGATGATACCCAAACACCCTCTTCCTTATCACAAATCCGCGAACAATGCCCCAGCGGCAGTAAACTCCATACCAACCACACCCACAGCCATTTAAGCGATGACAGTCAAGCTCAAACTACCAATTTTCCCGCCTCTATCATCTCGCCCTCCTTCACCCCTCCCACCACACCACACGGTCTCACGAATGCGTATTTATCCACCCAAACGTCTTCGTTGACGACAGAATTAAGAGGCCGCTTGATAAAGGCCAACCAGCCCAAGTTATTCCCGCGGCTTCCCAATGTCGAGTGTGTCGTGCGAGCGCGCATCCCCACAACCACGGGCGCGGAAATGTTCCTCCATCTCTATCACAATGATGCGGATGATAAGGAACATTTGGCTATTGTGTTTGGTAACTCGATTCGAAGCCGAAGCTTGGATCGCGTGAGGCCTGGGGAGACAGAGATGGATCGCATGATTCGCGGGGCGTATGTAGGGAGATTATGGCCCGGGAGACAGAATAGTTGGTTCGATGGGGCTCCTTCTGACGGTAAAAGAGTGGAGGGAACCCAGGGGGGTTCTGACGAGGGCTCTTTGAATGGTACGAATGCTGGGAAGACAGTGGGGGATTGGGTGTTGCAGACCAAACAAACTGCAGAGTCGGAAGAGCAGATGCAATCGCAGCTACCGGAACAATTCCCTCTCGTGAGAATACATTCGGAATGTTATACTGGTGAAACGGCATGGTCGGCAAGGTGCGATTGTGGAGAACAATTAGATGAAGCAGCAAGATTAATGTCCGAGGCCGCGGCTTCCCATGAGCAGCACCCCGGCGGTGTGATTATTTACCTACGTCAAGAGGGACGTGGAATTGGCCTGGGCGAAAAGCTGAAGGCATACAATCTGCAAGATCTGGGGAATGATACAGTTGAGGCCAATCTTATACTTCGACATCCCGCAGATGCTCGCAGTTATGGTCTGGCAACTGCCATGCTCGTAGATCTAGGACTTGGTGCGAACTCTGCGCAAAATGGCGGGATACGGCTGTTGACAAATAATCCTGATAAAGTCATGGCTGTCGAAGGTCCTAATCGGGAGGTTATTGTGAAGGAGAGAGTCCCCATGATCCCGCTGGCATGGCGGACTGGGGGCCGGAAGGGGATCCGGAGTACAGAGATTGAGGAATATCTAAGGACTAAGGTCAGTTTTTACCAGGTTGTCGCTTGTTTTGTACGCTTTTATTTTTATACGTTGTTGCGTGTACTGCTATTTACCGCTTTTATTCTTCCTTTCTTCCCTTCCGTAGCTAACACTTCAGCTTCACATAGATCGGGAGAATGGGACATATGATCGAATAACCCATCACATCCCAGTCTTTGCAACAAAATGATTTTGTTGTCCAGCAATTCGCAAGCTGCATATCTATTATTCATGAAGATAAATACAATTCATAGAGACATCGATCCCCTTACATCTACGGCTCTTGTTACTTATTTATCTCGTTGGATTCCCGCCATCCCATGCATTGCTCGAATATTCATTAACTCATTTTGTTTGTACATATACACTTTAATTTGTACAGCATTCACACTTGGTAAACGCTCAAATGAGGAGCGGCGGTTATCTTCTCGTTGACATGTGTACAGTATGGCTTTCTCTATTGCTATATCAATAATGCTTTCATTTCAACCTAATACGGTGCATGAGAACATAACATTTTCACCAGACTATCTGCTCCGCCAAAAACAAAAACTCTTCAATATCAAAATACAACATCATGGGTATACATCAATCTTGCTCCCTCTTCTCAAATTCCTAGCTTCCAGGATTTTCCCCGCCAGCAACATTCACACCTTTCTCCCCCTTGCAAAGAACAGCTTGTTTACCCCATTTGGCACATTTGGCAATTCCACCGTCCAGTCCGTGACCAATATGTCCACATCTGTCAACCCAGCACGGCCAAACATGTCCTTGACTTGCTGACGGGAGAACTTGTTGTGCTTGTGGGAAATGGTATGTGCGGCTTGGCTGAGGTGGTCTGCAGCTGCAGCGCAATGTTTATGGCCACAGCCTTTATGGGGACCATCCTCCTGATGGTGATGATGCTGGTAATGGTGGTGTTGATGGTGATGCCCTTTGAAACCGCACCCTTCCTTCCCTTCTGACTCCGACCCCGGCTCCGGCTCCACCCGATCAATCGCCAAAAACGTACCACCGCTCTTCAATCTCTCCACCAACTTCACAATGGTACTCTCAGGATCTTCCATGTGGTGAAGCGCAAGGGCGATTCCCACGAAGTCGAAATTGAAGAATTCTTCTCGAGATAGGTCAGTGCCTACGACTGCGGTTGCGACTACATCACCTGCTTTAGTCGGTGTCGGCGCAAATATGTCTCCGCGCACGCCGTACATTTTCTCCGGCCCTAGACCCAGCTCAATGGCAGCTTCGTTGTACTTTTTGATCATCCCAGACGCAATGTCGACGCCAACGCATTTGATGAAGAAGGGATGGTAGACCTTTGGAAAAGTTAGCGTTGCTTCTCATATGTTATTTTGTATCGTATATCCATAGACATGTATATATGTATGACTGTGGGAGAGAAATGATTACCGGGAATGGATTCAACGGTATTGCAGGATTGAAAATGAACGTACCCTCGTCAGAAATCCATTACCACAAGCAAAGTCAAGCATTTTCTTCCCGCCAGCTTCACCCCCACTACTAGCAGCAGGTCCAGATCCACCGTCATGAGCAATACCCAACCATTCGATGTTATTCTTGAGAAACTCATGTATCTTGTTTTGGAGATCTTTCGCCCATTGTATGTTGAACACGATATCGACAGAGTTGCTGGATAAGGAGGTTAGTTTTGATACTGTTGCCTCATTAAGGGGTAGGATCAAGGTAATAAGCGACTTTACCTCCAGAATTCCTCGCTGGCAGCTGCCGACATTCCCGAAGCAGCGACTGTGGCAGGGATTGCTGGACTAGATGACGACATGACCGGGCAGATCTCTTCTTGAAAGGTCAGGATTGGAGTGAAGAAAGGTATTTGTTGAAATGGGTGGGAAAAAATTGGATTTGGCGTTGAAGGGTAGTTAAATTTTGGCGAATAAAGATTATCGAAACAGGAGTTTTGTATCATGAAAATCCTTTTTGTCTTGCTCAATATTTGCGAGGGAATCTTCTGCATTTCTTATCGTGATGGAATAGAGAAGTAGGAAAAGGAGAGATCTGTAAAGACATGACGAGACAGCATTTATATATTTCAGACTGGGCCATCAAAATCCACTCTATCAATCATGACTTGTCGGCTTCGCCGATATGTTTCCTCTTGATTCCTCTCATCTTACGTTCCATCTCCATATTTTTTTTTTTTTTTTGCCAGGTCCCCCATGTCGTACCAAAAATGATTCTCTGCTCAGTTGGAGAAGTTCAAACTTGACGCAAGGTAAATATCGTATGTATGTGATCGTCCTCTTCCGGTTCTTTGCTGTCTTAGCTCCAGCCAAGGCTTGTCGCTCGGAGACTTTTCTTTCGCGCATGCATCGAACGATATCTCCGAAGCTAGCGGCAGATCTGGCTCGAATCTTCATCTCAAGCAACTCCCCGTTTTCCTTTCGACGTATCTCCTCGCCTCCAGACGAGATGATAAAGGTTCAAGGGGTTCTAGAAACTAGCTGATCAGCAAAAAAGGCTTCAGCCATTCCCGGTGTCTCGCCGGTCGTGCCCTACAGAAGTAACTATTTGCGATGCCTCCTGACAGTGGCGGTTTTATCTATCCATTTCGAAAAGATTCTTCTTTGAGGAATTTTGTCTTTGTCCAGCAGATGTACGGAGCCTACGATCAGATAGAGACCAGTGCTTTTTGCTGCACATTTTTGTGCAGGATCTGGAGGCCATGGGTGGTGGTCAATTGAAAATTATATCTCCGCACCTGCGTCCCAATGTCTCCATCGTTGGATCCCCAGGGGGTAACACGCTTGCAGAAAAGTTTAGGGTTCAACCAGGCAAAGCAGCATTCTAGAAGTGATTCAGATCCGCATACGGAGATTTTATAGATCTGGTCTGGGGTTCTGGCTGTGAAAACTGCCAGTTTCGGTGAGTTTTAACGCATTATTAAGATATCGAACACTCTGCACAAGGGTTGATGGATATGTATTGTGCTATGGCGCATCAACTCAAGCTGGCTCCAATACAATCCCGGCAACATATGTATGAGATGTGTTAAAAAGGTTGAGGCTCAGCCGGGACTTCGGATCTTTTGTTCGGAGACATATAATGTCTGAGAAAACTGAGATCCTGTGCCGGCCGGTGCGAATAAGAACCAGAGGAAGCAATGATGCCTATGTACTTATCTCCATGAGCTGTCCACGAACTACACTACTGGCAGCTGTGTCGATATGCACTGATGAAGACATTTCTAGGTGTTTTTTCTGCTGGGTGACCCAAATGAGGGAACAGGATGTCCAACACGAGGATCGAAACGGCCCATGGGAGTCAATCTGCATGTACGACTGATCGGGGATCCTGCATCCAACCGGGCTCGAAGTCGGATCGACGGGTTAGATGGAGAAGATGGCGATGAGAAGGGAGAATTGATATTTTGTTTGATTGATATAAAGTGATGTACAAAGCACGCCACGGAGCAACCAATGCAGAAAGACAAACAGATGACTAACTGCGTTTGATAAACGGATTAGCGAGCGAACAGTGAGTTAACGCCGAACATTTAACTAACCGAAACTCATCCTGAGCCGCTGGACCGGCGTCTGGGCAAAGTAGTCGGGGATAAGGTTGGTTTCTGTGCTCATAGCTGGTTCGCTCATATCCGCTGGGGACGAGCCCCATTTCCTTGAGATAAGACATTGCCCCTCCTACGGAGTATATTTACAAAGAACAGTTACAAAGGGAAAATCTTGGGAAGGTCTTGACATCTTCCCAAGTTCTGCCCACAAGATGTGTCTTATATTTGTGCATCTTTGGTCCTTGAATATTTATTAGTGGCCGGCTAAGCCCCGCCGCGCCATTTAGTGGCGTTGCAGTGGAGGCAATCGGATAAATGGCAACCCTGAAAATGAAGGAACCAGTTTCCAACATTGCCCATTGAGAAAAAGAGTCAACGTCTTTGGTTGCCACAGGATTGCCGTGTTGTTGAGCCAGAGCGTCGGAGAGAGTTGTGGATGAACCCGCGCCTTCGGCTCAACCCTGGAGCCCTTTTGTTCTTCAATCGTCTCACCATAACTAACCATCCCTTCCAACCGGAAAATCGCATCCTACTACCCACGTACATGATTCGCACCCCTTGCTGGGGTAGCTGCATCCTGTCGACGAGGTATGGCTGGCCACAACCTCCATCATGAATCCAACAATTCGTCATCCGCCAACTCAACCTATTCCGACCTCAATCCAACTTACAGCCTGACCCCAGTTCCATCAGAGAGCAAAGGCAGTCCAAAGATGTTACCAGAACCCAACCCGGTTGCTAGGAGGAAGAGAAAGGCTCCCTCCGTTGCCTCGTCCCGTGGTGTTGCACACCTCACACCGGAGCAGCTCGCGAAGAAACGGGCAAATGACCGTGAGGCGCAGCGGGCAATTAGGAAAAGGACAAAAGCTCAGATTGAGACGTTAGAGCAACGGGTACAAGAATTGACCTCACAGCAGCCGTATCAGGACCTCCTGAAGGCGTTGAGCCAGAAACACGCAGTCGAGAAGGAAAATGAAGATATTCGGAGGATGCTGGCCTCTGTGTTAGCTATGATCCAGCCGGTCGTGAATGGCGGTTTTTCTAAGGCTGCTAATACAACTCCCAATTCCTGTAAAACGGAGCCAGATCCCTTCAACGGTAATGGTTCTTGCTCTCGTTCCTGGTCAACCCAATACCACGGCGCCCCGCCCTCGCCTGTATCCAACTCTGAACTGCCAGTTTGCCATCCCTCTACGACAGTAAAACCGGAACTTCCTCTACGCATGCCCGCCTCGAGCTTCAACTCGGTGACGGCCCCTGGTATGGGCCCTGTCGATTCCCCACGAACCCTCGACAACCCCCCTCCTTCCGTTGCTGTATCTCCAGGGCATGCACTCCGTCCCAACTGCCCTGGGAGTGCTGTCCCCACACATACTACGGACCCACGACGCCAGCCTAGCAACAATTTTGATTCTGAGAGAAAATGTCTGTCGCATGATCTAGATTTTTCAGGGTCGGGAGAACGGTTAGGGTTCAATTTTCTCCTGTCCTCTCCTCGACAGGTTCCCAAGATATCGGAACGCATACGGAGCTCCTCCTCTCCGCCCCTCAACGTTTCGATGCGCTATCGGCATGTGCCCCCGTCCCCATGGAACCAGTTTGACCCAAACATTAGCCCCCATATGGTCCCTGTCCGCAACGTGGATCCAACGTGCCCCATGGATGGCATTCTCTTAGACTTTCTCCGCACCCGCCAACGCGAAGCGGAAGATGGCACATCCAAACAGGTCCTTGTCGGACCACCATACCCCAGCGTCTCCTCACTCCTAAACCCGGCCAAGAGCGCATACTCCCACCCCCTCTCAAAGGTCTTTACGGACATCCTTAGCAAATTCCCCGGCATCAGCAACCTCCCCGAACAAGTCGCCGTCCTCTACGTCATGTTCCTCCTCATGCGGTGGCAAATATACCCCACCCAGCAAAACTACGACCGCCTCCCAGAATGGCTTACCCCGCGTATTTCCCAAATCATGACACCGCACCCTGCCTGGATGGATTATCTACCCTGGCCACGCATGCGTGACCGCATGGTTGCCTCGTACAAAGACTACGAATTTCAGAATTGGTTCATCCCATACACCACCACGCTGAGCATCAATTGGCCGTATGAGGGGACTGATACGTTACTCACGACCGCAGACTCCGAAGAGCTCATTATAAACCCCGTTTTTGAGCGGCATTTGCGGAACTTGAATAATTGGTCGCTCGGGCCGGCTTTTGCCAAAGCATACCCAGGTCTTATTGACACGACGAGGATCGTTCCTGAATTGAGAGACCATCCCGGCCCCTCTGCTAGACCTATCAAGTGAAAGAGACGTTGGAATCATGGGAGTTACTTTCGTATAAGTCTATATTTACACGTGTATGAGATAATTAAGCTCCCGGCCTCCCGATATACTATTCCGCTGCGGTTATTCTGTCAACGAGAACATATGGATACGGATCCTTTTTCCGTTTTCATCCTACTGGTTTGCTACACTTCCCTCTCCCTACACCACGAGGCACACTCATAGTTTATGATTTTCCCTCGAATGGGAAACCTCAGCCAGTATGCTAACCCTACACCCATCATATCATCTGGCTTCGTATGCCCATAAACATATATATATATATATATATATATATATATATATGTAGATATATGTGTATTATTAAGCAAACCCAGAAAACACCACCAAAATGTCAGATAAACCCCGCTCTCCCTCACTCAGCAGCCAACCAACTGCCATCCTCTCCACCGACATCCGCAAACATAATTCCTCTCACAATTTTCTCTGTTCAAGCGGACATCTTCCTTCCTTGTACATCACCCACTTCCACAAATACCTGCATGAGAATATCGAAGGCACACATTAAATTGGCTACGAGAATCAGAGTGGGGGTAGACATGGCATCCTTTGCTTAATGCTTCTTAATTCACTAGTTAATATGAGAATATATAGGGAAGTTTCATTTTCTAGCATGACTATTTTAAGTTTTTCTGTTACTATTTATTAATCAGTTGACTTTAATGGTTATAATCGGCTCCTTAAAAATCGTGTCTTTTTTGAGTTCCCGAAAAGGGCCCCTTTTGCCTGTGCTAGTTCTTGTTTGGCCACTTGGTGGGGGGGGAGCCATGATGCATACATCCATCGACAGTGCATGTATATCACATCCTGAATAGCGTCTTAAGCATCTAGTTAACCTGCATAATTTCTCCTTTTTCCCCACCTATATCATCATTATCACGGTGCCATGTACAGGTCGCAATGAAGAATGACGTGATATACTAGCGTTCCCCAAATCTTCGAATCACCCAGAGACATTGCAGGTATACCTTATACAGCCTACGAAGTATATTCGTATATCACTTTCATATGGATAACGAGGACATTACAGAGAGTAACAACACATAAAAAAATTCAGGAAAATAACCTCTTTTCCATTAGCCCCGCCATTCGACTCAACCGATTGTTGAGGTCGAGGGAAACCTTCCGGTGGTTCTTGTGTAGCACCGGTAAAAACCTCGACCAGGGCGCGAAGCTATCTATCGTTCTCTAAACTGAGTCCTGCCATTTGGCTCTAAGGAAGAGGGAAACAATCCGATGGTTCTTGTGTGTAACATCGGTTAAAGAACCTCAACCAGGACCAGCTCGTTATAGGGTACAGAAAAGTCAAAGGGATAAAAATTTCAAAGTTCAAAGAGCTCAAAAAAAAGTCAAGAAAGTCGAGAAAGTCGAGAAAAGTCAGGAAACAAATAAAATAAAAAAAGCACAGATTCAGAAAAGCACAACTTGAAAATATGTCGCAAACACAAAAAGGGGGAAAAAAAATGACAATGTGGACTCTGGACTCTGGAATCTGGACTCTGGCAGGAGTGGTGGGACTTTGTTGTTGTTGTCGTCTTTTTTTCTTTTCTTTTTTTTTTTTTGGGTTGGAGTTTGTTTGGTGTAGGGCAATTGGTGACCCTTTCCTATTTGAGGAATTGTGCGTGGATAGCTGACTTCCGGATTTAGCAAGAGGCTATTAGAATTCGACCTGATGTAGCTAAACCAGTGAAGTGGCTTCTGGCTTACCTCATTCGAGAGGACTAGGGAAGGCGGATTCGACCCGGTGGACGGCCTCCCGTGAGGATTTCGCTGGGAAGTTGTGCATAGATTCAATTGTGCACCCGATAACCACCATTAAAATTGCCGGAATGATGATTTGGCCACCTCGTATCTATAGGATGAAGTATATCCGTGAGGTTTGGTAACCGGAGGTTGGTGTGAAAAGATGTTGAAGTGGGTAAAAATGCGCCGTGATAAACCGAAGGTGTTCAAGGGTCTGTTGTTGAAAGGAGAGGCTGGGGAAGTGTTGCTGGATGAGGTTTTCCCGAATAATCGATTTTTTTTTTTTTTAATTTTTTAATTTTTTAATTTTTTTTTTGTTTTTCGTTGTGCAGTATGTTATGACTTGTGCGAGAGTTTAGAGTATAGGAGGTTGAAAGCGTTGCTGAGATAATCAAGGTTTCTCTGTTGAGAACATTAAACCTGTATATCGCAGCAAATAGACAGCAAGTATCGACACCAGGAAGTTACTCACCGGTGAGCAGAAAGCACCGAGCCCGTATTTCCACGGATTCTTCAGAGGTAATGCCGTAGCAAATTCTTACGTGAAGTCACCGTTGTCCATATCACAAGCCACTGACATGCTCGACTTGCGACTGCTATTGCCCCCGCTGTCGCGAATTCCAACCACGCCGCAGAATCGTTCACGAGGCGCTGACCACGCGGATGATATGTTTGGTTTGCAGCCTCAAGTGAAGTCGTGCGGTGGCTTAGAGTCGAACTCGAAGAGAATTTCGTAGTTGATGCCGGGATTGTGTGGAGTGGAATAGGGGGTGATTGCGCACATGCTTCCCCAAACGCAAAGCTTTCAGACGCCGTCGCCCGCCCTTTTTGAGCCCAAAATCAAATAAAACAAGAGACGAACAAACGTTTAAAAGCACCAAATCGTCGGACAGTCCTTTAATCCAAATGTTTGTGGATTTCCCCAGATGGAATTAAACCCGTTTCGCGGCGATATCGAAGATTTTTGCAAATTCAAAATTTCAGTGGCAAAACAGTACAGAAAACAGAGCTCTCATGGCAAAGCGAACGACCTGTCGACAGTGCACTGGTTTCACATGGCCATCGTCTAGACGTTTGAGTAGGTGCGAGGGAAAGACTGCTTGTAGTGGTCATACAAGACAGATCTTTATGTCAGGAGGGCTTGGGGTTCCGCAAGATAGGGACATGTACTTTTTTTTTTTTTTTTTTTTCTTGGGGTAGTTGTAAGGGAGAAGAAAAAAGAGGAGGAGGAAACAGCGACGATGGGGTTTTTATACCCTCCCCTGTGGCAAGAAGGGTTAGGTAATCGCCTGCTAATCCGACTCAAAAAGGGGATATGCTCATCGACGAGGATCACGTTGCTCCCTTGGTAGAGGGCGTTTCCTTCCTGCCAGAGTCGAGGTGAGGGAAGGGAGGGAAGATGCTCTTCGAACTACCGAAAGAGGAATCAGCAGTGAGATCGATACGAAAGGGTCGCCGGTCGCCATGGCTATACTGAACACTTGCGACATACACACAGTTGATACCTGCCTCAAACGAACGTTGATAGCTTGCCCTCGAAGCCCGATTGAGGCTGGATGGAGCATTTTAAATTGACGTCATTGGGCTTCCTTCAATCATGCCGAGGATGGCAATAGCACCCCCATAGCACTATCCGTATTCGAATCTGGCCATTGCCCCTATGCAGGATGAGGAGGAAGGTGAAGGGCCCCTGGTAGGATTGAAGCCACCTCTGGGCAGGGGGTGAGAATTGCCCACTTGCGGTTAACTAACTAGTTAGTTAACGTGGCGCGTAGAGGTAGATTATGTAAGACATTTGTTTGACAAAGGCCAAAGACAGACCCGCTAAATATGAGCTGTATAGAGCTCTATGGCGGGTAGTCAGTTGCCCAAGGCATAAGGAGAAGCCGGTTAAGAGATTTTTAACAGGCTCCCGGGTGATAGCATCAGCCACTCTGCACGGTTGTAGGAACAGTATATAGAATCTATGATGACGGAGACGTCAGTATGTTAGATCATTTTGCACACTGAAGAGCTGTTGAGAGCAGCGATTAATCTCCTCCAGCCCGTAATCGGAGAATAGACACCAAAGAGGATAAGCCTCAAGAGGCATTGACACCTATATCAATCACCGCATTTTCATAGAAATTCGATGACCATGTATCAGCGCCAGGTAGAAACTGCACTCGGGAGGAACTGTATATGCCAATTGGATTGAGAAGTGACAAACGCATAATCTGGGGTTAAGAGGCCTGGGGGCACAGTACAGTATCGATTTCAGAGCGTCCACTATCAATTCCGCTATCTGCATCATGACTGGGAGTCCATGGGTGCCCATGTCCGTTACAGCTGCAAGCGAGGAGAGTGTGGTTCCTCAACATCATTCAGATCCAGTAGAGCGAAGTCCCGCTCTGAGATCACTTCACCATCTACGAGATCCTACATATGCAGTCAGGACACACCATAGGCTCTGATATGACCAGCAACAAGGACATGATCGTGGCCTCTCGGTCTCATACGGAGGAAATAGATAGTAATCGCAGGTCTAAGGCCACACCAGGTATTTATGGTGTTACATGCGGTTTTCTGTCCACAACCCGCCTCCCTGTAGTACAGTGCGAGTCTCAATTTCTCGAGGACTTATGAGAAGGAGAGGGGCAAAGAGGGTATATATATGCAATATCAAAAAGAGATATCTCATGAAAATGGAGATAATAAATTTTTAAAAAAACAACCTATTTTGTCGGCAACATGCAACTGAAGGGAGACTTGATAAAGTTCATCTGGGTGGCAAGAAAAGGATGACATCCCTGTAGTTATAGCAGAAATTGTGTACGCACGGAGAAAGCCGCGCAACAATGCCAGCTTACATCCCGAGATTAACTGGATAGAAATATGCGCTCAGAGAAGCCTGAGAACGAAACATCTGTAGATTGTCATCTTAGAACCAGGAGAAGAGAAACACAAGTCGTTGGTAGCATACTCAATGACCGGCGTCCGTGTGATTAGGCTGAAGAGGAGATGAGATGTAGCAGAAGAGAATGGAGCATTTAAACAGTTTAAGTGGAACATTTCCACAATGGGGCCGCTAAACCTCATTAGGAAGAGCTTCGTCAAACCTCCCAAGCAAGCAGTTGAGCGGAACGGGAAAATCGACTAGCATCGCAACAATTGAACAACTGCATACTCCAAAACAATCCAGCATCCACAGGCCCTCATCCACTATCCAACCTTATCGTGTGGGCTACCCTTGACTCTGGTAGTCGCTAATCTAAGATATTGCGACAATGGCGGACCAGCCCCCAATCGGTATGCCAAGCGCAACATCACCCATCTCCGCGTACCACTGCTAACTAACACCGTGATATGCAGTTCTTGACGGAGGAACCGGCTTCCTGAAAGTCGGATATGCGGCGCAGGTAGGCTTCACCCTGCGCACATTATCTACGAGAACTGTCACTGATTCCAGAATTCATCGCGATTTAGAACTTCCCCGAACACCAGTTCCCCTCCATAGTGGGGCGGCCTATTCTCAGATCCGAGGAGCAGGCTGGGGATATCATTGTGAAAGATATTATGTGTGGCGATGAAGCTGCCGCTGCTAGATCGATGTTGCAAATTAGCTACCCTGTATGCCCCTCCCTTTTGACTGGTCCAGGTCCGGCCGCCGTCGTGTTTCTGTGTTTTGCGGGATTACTGATAGCGGGACCCCTGTACCGTACGCAGATGGAGAATGGAATTGTGAAGAAATGGGATGACATGCAACATCTATGGAACTATACGTTTTACGATAAAATGAAGATCGATCCTGCAGGCCGGAAAATCCTCCTCACGGAACCACCTATGAATCCCCTCAAAAACAGAGAGCAGATGTGCGAGGTGATGTTCGAGGGATACAACTTCGGAGGAGTATACGTTGCGATACAGGCTGTTCTGGCCCTCTACGCACAAGGTGGGACACCATGGAGCGGAAGATACTTGAAAGAACTCAACAGACTGATGTGTAAAACGAAAATACAGGTCTCAGCAGTGGTGTCGTGGTCGATTCGGGGGATGGCGTCACTCATATAGTTCCGGTTTACGAGTCCACCGTCTTAAACCATCTAACGCGCCGTCTCGATGTTGCAGGCCGCGATGTCACTCGTAACCTAATCGCCCTTCTTCTCCGACGCGGCTACGCCCTTAACCGTACCGCTGACTTCGAAACCGTTCGTCAAATCAAAGAAAAACTCTGTTACGTGTCCTATGACCTGGAACTTGACCAGCGTCTCTCAGAAGATACGACCGTGTTGGTTGAATCATATACCCTCCCAGATGGCAGAGTGATTAGGGTTGGTAGCGAGCGGTTTGAGGCTCCAGAATGCCTCTTCCAACCCCATCTTGTCGACGTAGAGCAGCCTGGTATCGCGGAGTTTCTGTTCAACACCATTCAGGCTGCTGATGTTGATGTGAGGAGTAGTTTGTATAAGGCTATTGTTCTCAGTGGCGGTAGCAGCATGTATCCCGGTCTACCATCGAGGCTTGAGAAAGAATTGAAGCAGCTCTGGTTGACACGGGTATTACAAGGGAACCCGGAAAGACTAAACGTAAGTCAAGGTCCGGGAATTCCCCCTCCTTTCGTGTGCTAATTATTTTCACATTTTCCAGAAATTTAAAGTACGCATCGAAGACCCCCCTCGAAGAAGACACATGGTGTTCCTCGGAGGTGCTGTACTCGCAAATCTGGTAAGCCATCCCAAAGTTCCACTCTCTATTTTCAAATCCAAAGGGGCCAACAAACTAACCACCGGCTCTACCCCTCAACCCAGCTAGCAGACAAAGAAAACATGTGGATCTCGAAAGCAGAATGGGATGAAAAGGGTGCCGCTGCTCTCGAGAAACTTGGTCCAAGATAATTTATATCATTTCAACGTTGAAATCCTCCGCATGTGTTGCGGGCTGCAATCCAACCCACCCCTAACTACATCTCCCAAATCAACCCTTACGACCACCAACACAACCTGCGCGATCTCCATCTGTTCGCAGCCTCATATACTCTATCCTCTTCCCTACAGTGCTTTCGCTTTGTTTTGTGTCAAGACACATTCACGCAGGGGCGTTGCGTGTTCAATTTCCTTAGAGCGCGTATCTTACTCCTTTTTTTTGTATTTTGCTACTTCGAGAGGTGTATGTAAATACATAGCTACAATATCAAAAAAAAGAAAAAGAAAAAGAAAAAAACAGATTAACCCTACTTTCCTGATGTAATGAATAAATCACAGAATAGAAGGGGGAAGAGGATGGACTGCATTGTGGTGCATGAATGAAGACGTGAACTGTCCTCTGGAAGGACCACAGAACAGACTTGTTTTCTTGATGAAACCCTATAAAACTACGCATAAACCTCTCATTGCAATCAAAAGCCATGGGACCTGCCCTCCCACCCATCTATATCTATCAAACGGTCCACTCCACTTCAATAAGAGACATCAATCCCATCAAAAAAGCGCAAACAAGATTTCAACCTTATACCGACGTGACGCGGAGCAGGGGGATAAAAGCAGGCAAAAGTTGGCTGAAGGTAGGCTCACAACCCCAAAACACATAACCTCCCAAAGGAGAATTGGGCTAATTCATCTCGATGAAAAATAGCCAAGCAGTCACCACCACCATGAGCCAATTCTCTTATCATTTAATCGAAGAAGGGATAAATAAGTTCAGCAAATACCGTGACGGGGGAATTGAGAATCAACCAGTGACAAAAAACAGACATAAGAACAAGCAGTAACAGTGACAGGAAGCGGAAAGAAATTGCAGAACAAATGCACAGAATAGGCTAGTGGATTACAACAGAACAGATCCAACCAGTTTGAAGAGAAATAGTGTACGTAGGCGAACGCCGTCGCCCGAGAGGCCGCCCCCACGTGATTCCGCTTATATTGATTAGCGAGCTCTTCCATCCAATAGTAGAAGATCAACCATCCCATCCAGCGATGTTGGATGCAACTTTGTGTGAATATATCCACCCGAGAATTCTAGATCTCGCCCGAATGAAAAAAGAAAGAAAGAAAGAAAGAAAGAGAAAATAAAAAAAAAACTTAAGCATAAGTGATGATGCGTATATAGCCATGCATCCATGGTTTTGAAAAGAAAAACTGTGATCTTTACATCACTCTCTCCCGAAAAATAGCGGAGCAAGCAAAGGAGATACATCCCCCAGAGGAAAGGGGAAAGGGAAACATATGGAAAGAAAACTGAGTCCAAACTGATCGCTCATCCACATAGGAATGAGAAATAGGAAAAATGATAGGACAAACTCGAGAAGTGTTTGAAGACAGCACGAGGAACTGTGTGCCTCTTTTCTTTCTGGTATGTAAAACTGAAGCGGCAGTGCTTCATGTTATCCCATCTCTATGATGTTTCTTGTTTCGTCTGCTGTACACCTGTTGTCGGCATGCGCTTCTCATTCATCGCTTTCGGAATCAGGTCCGTTGTCGGCTTCTCTTTTCTTCCTTTCTTCATCTAGTTCGCAGTATGTACTCCAACTGAGCAGGAAGAAGGCTAGAATGATGAGAATACCCCCATATATCGAGGCGGAGGTGAGAGGTTTGTTGGTAAGCTTCCAGTCGATGAGGGCGACCAGGAAAATTGTGAGAAGGGCAGCGACTGAGGATAAAACGGGCGATGTGAGAGAAATAAGGACGAGGAAAGATCCAGAGAAAGCTGGAATAGAGGTAGCCCAGTTAGCAGAAAGAAATGGAAATAATAATTTGGATCCCAACGGCAATGTCAGGCAGTGAAGGAAAAAAAAAAAAAAAAGTCAACATACTAGCATTGGAGATGACGGATATCAGTAGCAGACGTGCTGCTTCACCCCGGGGCCACTCAAACGTTTCAATTTCAAGGATATGCAAAAGTGGTAATGGTATCCAAAGAACGAGTAACGTAAACGCTCCGATTAGACTTGCAAAGGTATTTGCGAAGATCACACCACGGCCGGCGCTTGTGCCTTCAGGAGGACAAGCAAGTCTTTTATACAGGACTTCATATAAACCGTAAAGTACGCTTCCAATCCCAATTATAACATTCCCAAGCGCTCGACTCGATGCCTCCTTGGCATCCTTGCCTGCAGCTCCTTTGGAAGTACCGGACGGACCATAGGCAACAATAAGAACGCCGACGATGGCAACAGCAACAGAGAACACTTTGTCAAATCGCAACTTGTCATTCAGCAAGGGTATCGAAAAGGCATAGGCAAAGAAGGCTGAACAGTTATAAATCGCAGTTAGGTCGCTGGCTGTCGTTAGCTTGACAGCAACATACCATGAACCGCCAGCAACGGTCAGGGAAGTGGTAACGACAGCGGTGGTGCGGAGTATGTAAGGTATTGGTGACTGACGGAGGTCCCGAGTGGTGAGGTGTAGATTACGAGATTCCACCATTTGTGCCGTGGTCCGGAGAATGTAAGTATGCCGCCGCCAAAATGCTCCCCACGACAGATTGCGCTTCTGGAGCCGAAGCAACAGCAGCTGCACTGGCCAAAGAAAAACCCAAGACCCATGGGTAAAATAACTGATCCAAAAATACACAATGAAAGCCATTAGAAATTTATTATTTGGTAGATCTTGGAAATCCTCTCATTCTTTTCAAAAATTAATTGGACTCACAGCATGCAGTACGGCTTCTCCCACCCCAAATCATGTTGAATATATACGGCAGTCTCGGTTTGTACAACGAAACTTATCAAACTCAGGACGAGAAAAAATGAAGCGATATAATATTTCCTTTGAGTTGCATGTTTGCTGTCATACTCTGGGGTCCTACTTCTGAGTGTTGAGTTCCTAGGTTCATATCGAGGTCGACCGTCCTCTCCATCCACAGCAAAAGCTGGACTGCTTATCCGCCGACCACGCTCCTCATCCTTCAGCAACGGCAAACTGGATTTGGATCGAGATTCCCTTATCCGGCTCAAGGAGGGTCTACTGCTCGTCATTTCGCCGTCGAACTCGTCCTCGGATTCGTCCTTGGCGTATTGGGAAGATCCTAAGACAGTCTTTCTTTCGGTGGTATTCTGGTTTGATGCATTGGGGCTGACACTAGAAGATCGAGATATGCCCTGTTGGGAAGAGATTCTGGTTTGATTATATTCAGAAGACTGCTGGGAGTTCAATAGAGTATAGTCGAGAGTTGGATCAAGACCGGCGGAGTTGTTAATGTCTTGGCCCCTTTTGGACTTGAGAGTCGATGAAAAGGGCAAATACCGTCGTTGACTACCTATGTAGGGCCGAGGGCAGGGAGTTATTATATTTATTTATTCGCAGATTCGCTCGCGTTTCTCATGACAATTGAGAAGGTTGTTCCTAACTGTTCTTTTTTGATGAATTATAATATCAGGCGTACCAACTAGTTAGTTAGTTAGTGGTGTTGTGGCACTGGCGAAGCCGCACCGGATCGAGCAGAACGGTAGAAGCAAACAGATCACCTTTCAACATTAGTTATATACAGGAATTTCGCAACAAATGAAATTTCTAGGCCTCTGGTGTCGCCTCAGCCATGTGTTCTGACAGAATCACCGAGGGCTTGTCGGCCTGTTCTCTCAATCTCGGCGCCCAACCTCTTTTGATCGTGCTTAGTCATTCCAAGCCACAAGCCGTCATCGAATTTGGCGGGTCAAATTTGTCGATTCCTGAGAAGCAACAGCCCAATGAGCACAAAAAGCGGTGGCAGAAGCTGTAGGCCTCTTTGGACTCTAACCAGGCTGCCTAACGTGGGTTTTCAAGTCCACAGGGTCGTTATCAAAGACTCGGACTGTCTTACACCCTATATAAGGCTATGCAGCTCCTTGAAATATATCCCTTGTACCCCGACAAGTCTCTGTGCTACATATTCTAGCCACTCGAGCCACAATCTATCGTCTATTCTATTCCATTTCACTCCATATCTTCCTGCTGCGGAGATTTCTAGGCCCCGTGTCCATTTCTCGAAGGTACGGGGATTACTTCCGTTACCATCTTCGTGCCATCATACCCGCGCAGTTGAAGATTCTATGCTGCCATATGAAGGTGCATTAAGTTGATATTATGACCAAGAGTATTTGGTGGACCCCCAGTCTCTCTCCATGGTTGAATCTTGAATCTTGTAGTCTGGGAGCCTGCATCTTGTCTTTTGGGTTCAACCCGGATTCGTCTGGTGCGAGAGCTGAAGTATTCTGTTTATTTCGATACTCTTCAGACGTTTTATGGCCTTGAAAGAAATATTTCTTCTGATATCTCAACCTTTACAGCCCTGCACATCCTTTGTCCTGGTTGACAGAACAAGATGCAGCTGAGGAGAAAGAATCGACCCTACCGCAAGGGCATCTCTTGGACGCATACTATCGGAATGCGTTTAGGATGTACAGGTTAAATCAGTAGTTATTTCATGCAACTTCTCTCATAATACAGATTTGTCTATTAGATCACCTCCGTCACCACTGATCACAATGAAGTTTAAATACTATTTCCAAATGAGATAAAAGTCTTGTACCGATCTTATCAGTCACTCCGTGAAGAAACAAGCTATAGTTAGGTGGAAGTACTATAAAGTCAAATATACATTATTCTGTAAAAGCATTTCAATTCTATGTGTCTTGAAAAGAACGTATGGTCAAATCCCTCGGAGTTCTTCTGTATATTTTACTAAACCCAACTTCACGAATCTGAGTATGATGTCATTCTGCATGCAGCTTCAGTCCATCCCGCTACTTTCCAAAACTATAAAAGCGCATCATAGAACAATAGCCGAATGCTTTATTTTCGACGAACTATACACAGTCACACACTCCAACCAATTCCAAACTTTCTAGCAATTCTAAAACTGTATCCATTCACATCGGAAACATGCCTCTTGTAGTCCAAAACCCAATGCCCCGAGTGATCCTCGGTTTGATGACCTTCGGACCTGATCCCGAAAGCAGTGCCCGGATCACTTCCCTAGATGAAACCAAAAAATGTCTCGACTATTTCCAGCAGCAGGGCTACAATGAAATTGATACCGCGCGCATCTACGTTGGCGGAAAGCAGGAAGCCTTCACGGCTCAAGCAGGGTGGAAGGAAAGAGGTCTCACGATCGCCACGAAATGGTATCCTAGCAAACCAGGTTACCATCATGCCAATGTAGTGAGGGAGAAACTCAATGAGTCCCTGAGGGACCTGCAGACAGACTCTGTGGATATATTCTATCTGCATGCAGCCGACAGATCTGTGCCCTTCGCAGAGACACTGAGGGCTGTAAATGAGTTGCATAAGGAAGGAAAGTTTATTCAGCTGGGTTTGAGCAATTATACCGCTTTCGAAGTTGCAGAGATTGTTACCATGTGTCTTGAGCGGGGCTGGGTGAGGCCGACGATTTATCAGGCCATGTATAATGCTATCAGTTAGTTCTCCGCTTTGCCAATTTTTCTTTTTCTTTTCACTCTACGTCTAGCGGTCCACTGACACCTTTTCACCCCCTTCCAGCGCGGTCCATTGAAACCGAATTAATACCCGCCTGTAGAAGGTACGGTATCGATGTTGTGGTCTACAATCCTCTGGCCGGTGGTATCTTCTCCGGGAAATATAAAACGGCAGACATCCCTGCGTCCGGCCGATTCTCCGACCAAGCCAGCCTTGGATCAAACTATCGCAACAGGTACTTCAAAGACGCCACATTCGACGCTCTGCGCATTATTGAACCTGTCGTGAAGAAACATCACCTGACCCTAATTGAAACCGCGTTCCGTTGGTTGCGACATCACTCTGCACTAAATATGGGGACAAGCTTAACCGAGCGTGATGGAATTATCATTGGTGTTAGCAGCTTCGGGCAGTTAGAGGAGAATCTAGCGGATATTGAGAAGGGTCCGTTGCCAGAGGAGGTTGTGAAGGCGCTGGATGAGGCGTGGTTGGTTACAAAGCCCACAACTGTCAATTATTGGCATTTGGATTTGAAGTATACGTATGATACCGTAAAGGAGTTATTTGGGTCCAGCGATTAGTATAATTTCCCAAACCGAACGGATCACAACCACCGAGCGAGTCACCAAAATTGAAAAATCTGTAGATTCCTAACCCACCCACTCAACATGTGAGAATGCCTTCAATTTGGAATTAAATTCAGCAGATTTCACAGAGGAAGAAGAATAGAGCTAGTATTTTTTTTTTTTATTTGCCGTTCAAAAGAAGGAAAAATCTTATTTTGTAAAGCTTCATAGCTAGTGATATAATATTTCTTACATCACTATTTTATCAACATAGTGATAGTTTTCATGAATGAATTGACATACGAATTGACATAAATTGGACACAAGTGAAAGAAAATAAACTAGTTTAATAAGTTCTAGATATAGTTATTATAATTCTCAAATAAGTAAATAAGCATATCACAAAATCACTATATATCAACTAATTAGATTTTAATCAAATTATCTCAACATAACAATACTCAATTAAATTAAATTAAATTAAACTAGATTGAGAATATTCAATTCTTATATATCTGAAAGTGCTGCAATTGATGCAATATTGTGAAGCTCATTGATATGATGCAAATTCAGATAATAGAGACTTTCAAAGTTAAATAACTGTTTTTTCAATAGATGTAGTTGATGAAGTAACAAGATTTTGAGCTTTATTTCTAGTTAGATTTTCTGTATGTTGAATTTAATATCTAAATCTATTTTGATTTTGCTTCTCTATTTTATTTATATTGAATATATTTCAATATTACTTTTTTTATAATAATAATATTGATTATTTTAATATATTTATTAATATTATTACAGTTACTTATTTCTAATTTTTAGACTATAGAAGTTTTATTTGACTATATGTAAAGGGTTAAGCTCTAAGAACTAGAGGCTAATCCTCCTATATAACAAGGACGAATTGCTTGAGAAAGGGAAGAAAAGAATGAGACGAGAACTCGAGCTTAAGCGAGCTAGCGTAGCATGATCACGTGCGCACGTGCAAACGATGGCTAGGCTGAGTCAGCCAGCCAGAGCGAATCTAGGGGTTCAACCCCTTACACTATAGCACTTACTATAAGAAATAATTTTAATAATAAAGAAGTTTTATTATAAGATTAATTTCATAAAAGTTATATATATATATTTAATAAAATTAAATACTTAATATTATAATTTTTTTAAATTTTAAATTAAGTTTAAATAATTTTTATAATATTATATTTATTACAATTATAATTATAATTAATAAAGTAATTAATTTAAATTTTTAAATAATATATTATTGAATTTGATACTTAATTCTTCTTATTATAAATAAAAATTATAATAAAAATAATAAAATTATATATAAAAAAATAATTAATTATATTCTTAATAAATATTAACTATAAGAAAAAATTTTATATAATTTAATTTAATATTTATTAATTAGTTTATTCTTTTTAGTTTAGATTAATTATATTAAATTTATATTTAAATTTATATAAATAATTTATTTATAAATTAATAATTTAATTTAAAAAATAATATATTAAATATATATATATTGTTAACCGGACTTGGCTCCGTTACAGCAAGCGTTCACCTGAGTCGATTAAGGTCAGGTCGACTAAGTGCCTTATCGTGCTTGATCACTGTAGGAAGGTCGGCTGCCACTAGAATTGGACAATAGAAATATTGATCTCTATTACCGATAATAGCTAAGGCGGGTGTCTAAGACTCTAATGATCTGTAAGAGATGTAGACGCGGTAGAAGGGTATCCCAAGGGAACCAAAACTATGGTTATAACTGAATAGGATAGTTGGAAGGTAGAATGTTCTCAAAGTGTAATGAAATTGATCGTGATCAAGAAGATAAGCTTCCTTGATCCTAAGGGTAATGAGCGTCTTTATATACATGGTGAAATCCTCTGGTAGATCTGGTAGATCTGGTATACTGATCATACCAATCTATCAGTCACGTGATCTGTACCCTCTCCGGAAACACGTCCTGCCGTTCCGTCGCTTAGTCTCCGTCAGCCCTCTTGTTAGGTTTATTCCTACCCAATGATTCCTTGATTGTTCATGCGGGGTGTTCCCTTAGGTTTGTAACATATATATATAATTTTATTATAAATTAATAATATAATTATATATTAAAATAAATAAATAATTAAATAAGAAAATATTTTAAATTAATAATTTTTTATTTATATAAGTTAAGAATACTAGACTTAAAATATTATTTTATTTCTTAAATATTTTATATATTTAATATTACTTTTATTAAGTTTTCTTTTATATTAATTTGAATTATTTTATTTTATAATATGATTAGAGTTATAATAATATAAAAATAAAAGCCTCAATTTATCTATTTAATTAGATAGCTATTATAAGAATATTAAATTAAGAAATAAAATATAAAAATAAATAAGTAGTCAAATATAAATAAATAATTAAAAATTAAAATATATCAATCTAAGTAACTAAATATAATTGAGATCAGAGTAAATTAATTTTAATTTATATTATTAGTAACTGCATTATAATATTATCTCTCAATTTAAAAAAATACTTGCTTTTAAATAGTTATATTGATACAAAAAAAATAAACTTAAATTTATTAAACTTATTAGTAGATTGATTATCTTAATTATTATTTATTAGATTCTTCTAAATTATTTTTATATCTTATTAATATCTGAGTTATTATTAGAAGATTTTTATTAAAAACTACAATTTATTTAACAATTTAATAGCAATAGAGCTTAGAAGAATATAAATAAAAATAATAATTTTCATTTCAATAATTATTCAATCAATAGTATTAAGTTGAATTCAATTTAAATTTATATAATCATAATGATTAAAGTAAGTAGAGTAATTAAAGCAAATAGAATAAGCAGAATAGAGCAATTAAAACAAGTAGAATAATCAGAGTGAAGTGATTGAAGTGAACAGAGCAATCAAAGCAAAGTAATCAAAGTAAATAAAGTAATTAAAATGTAATTAAAGTAATATAATTAAAGTAAATAAAATTAAAATAAGCAGAGTAATCAACTAAAATTGCTGAAAAGCTTATAGCAAGAGTGAATGGAAGAAATAAACTAAAAGCTAACTACTGAACAACATACAGAAATTTCTTATAAATCTTAAAAAAAATTTAATTACTAAGTATTATAGTACTGTTGCTAATAATATGAGATAAAATTGATTTACTCTGATTCTTAATTATTTATATATATTTAGCTGCTTATCTTATTTCTATATTTTAATTCTTAGTTTAATATTCTCATTGCAACTATATAGATAGATAAATAAATTGAGCTTTTGTACTATTATCATAATTTCTCTAGACTAACTATAACACTAAGTTAGATAATTACAGATTAAAATTCTGATAAATTCAATTAATTCTAACTCTGATATCATAGAAAATATATTCAATTTAATAATATATTAAATTGTTTTATTTAAATTAATAATAAGATTAAATAAAAATTGAAACTCTATAAGTTTATTTTTTATTAAAAGTTTATTAAATATTATATTATTTTGAGATAAAAATTTATAAATATATAATTTAAATACTATTTATTAGTTAGATTAATAAAATAGTAAAATCTTAATTTAGTTAAATAAATATCATAGTTATTAATTAAATATATTTTAAATATAAAAATAATAATAATAATAATAATAATAATAATAATAATAATAATAATAATTAAAATTAAAAATTTTAAATATATATAAATCTTATAAATTAAATATATTTATATTTATATTTATAAAGTATAAAATTTGTAAATATATAGATTATAATTTTTTTTATTAATATTTATATGTTAAATATATTTATAATTAATTTAACTTGTTAATAATATCAAAAATACTTATAAAATATTATCTAATATATATAATTAATATATATAATTTTAAAAAGTTATTTTATTAAATTATTAGGAAGTGAATGTGAGCTGCATAAGAAGAAATTCTCTGCATTGCTAACTGCTATAATCTGGGCAGACCCCAGCACCTTCTTTTCTCTCATCAAGCTGTAGCGGCGCCCGCCTGGGTGGCGTTGCCCTAGCGACCGCCCCGCCCACACGTGATCGCTTGTATGTAATATAGCAATAACCTAGCTAGCTCCTCCGAATAGAAGGTTCAACCATCCCACACAAGCTTAGTATTTCATTATAACAACCCATGTGGTCACATGATGAGGGCTAGGCCTAATCCGGCGCCGAGTCTAATCGGGCACTGAGTCTAATTGGGCGCCGAGCCTCGGTCGGGCGCTAAGCCTAACAAAATATAAAATACTTTTTATAATATTTGAACTTATTACAACTAGTTATAATTTTTATATTAAATATTATTTATAAATTATCTTAATTATTTAAAAAATTGATTAAAAAATTTAATAATATTAAATATTATATATATTTATAACTTCTATAATTTAAAAAAATTAAAAATTATTATAAAGTTAATTTATTATATATTAAATTTATTTATATTTTAAATTTGTTAAAATTAATCATTTAAATTTTATAAATAAAATAATTATAAATAAATATAATTTTTTATTTATATATTGTCATGGTTCAACTAGAGTCATGATGATATATAAGATAAAAGCTCAATTCATCTATCTAACTAGGCAGCTGCAATGAGAATACTAAACCGAGAATTAGAATGTGGAATGAACGAGCAGCCAAATATATATTAGGCGGTTGAGGATCGGAGCGGATCAACCTAAGCAATTGAATATGGTTGAGGTCGGATCGGATCAACATGGACCATCAAATATGGTTGAGGCCGGAACAGATCAACCTTATCCCATATTACCAGACTGCGCCGTAACATATCATATGTATTATATATTCGTACTTTTAAATATAATTTAATTTTTAATTGGTTTTATATAATATATATTAAAATTAATAAATTTTTATATTATTTTTTATTATAATAATATTAATTATTTTATATTTATAAATTTTAATAATTTATTTTAATTTATTATTAAAATATAAAAAAAATTTAAACTTTATATATTATAAAATTTTTGATTTTATTTATTTATTTATATTATTCATAATTATTAAATATTTAAATACTTTATATTAAAATATTTTAAAACTATATTTTTTAAAAATAATTTATTTTTATAGCTGTAGCATACAGCATTCAAGAACAGTCTTAGTGTAATTTAATATAATTGATATTGTCGTGTGTAGGAACTTCAGGTACAAATCTAGTTTAAACTTATTGCGATTTTATTGATTCGCTCAGTGGTGTGATCCCCGCACCGGTTTGATCCGCTCAGTGGGGGCTGGATGTTTGTTGTTAAAAAAAGGCTTTGTAATGTTTAAATCTAAAGACCCGGTGGCAAATTTTCCTGATAGCATATATGTATGGCTGAGAACAACTTCCTGACATGAGTTATTAACACTCAGTGTTTGATATTAATTTTCAAATGTGATCACCGTATGAGAATGTACAACTTCGAAAACCATCAACAACATAGAATCGTACTGACAGTGGTCTGCTGCGCATAGTCACATATCACACGGATCTTTGAACAATAAACTTTATATTTGAAACAGCGGGGAGAGTATGTTGTTCGCCTCGCGCTTTTTTTATTCTCTTGTTGCGATTGAGATTTGAGACCAAAAGATCGAATGGTTGCAGATACCTGCGAAGCGTGCTCTCCAACGATGGCCAACTCCTCTCATGAAGAAAGCGATGTAGAAAGGGCTGATCACAACCCCCCAAATAATGATGGGCCCAGAGAGGGTAATGACAATGAACAGGAGAAAGGCGTGACCCAGGAGGTACCAAATGACGATGAACTTCAGGAGCTGGCTAGATGTGATAAGGGGTGGAGGAAGATAGTGCGAAAATTTTACGCCATCGTGAGTAACTGTCCTCCCGAAATATGGTCTGTGGAGATCGTTTCACTGCGTACCTGCAAAGTGACTGTTCCCTGCAGCATATTTTATATTAGAATGACTTCTGATATATATCTATCCAAAAGAGAGGGAGAGGGAGAGAAGAGAAAGGGT